CACTCCGCTGGTAGCTTTTTGGCAAAGCCCGAATGGCTTACCCACGTAATATGGACCACAACCATCGTTGAGGAATCTCCTGTGAGAATGCCACTGCCAGGCCTTTTGGCAATACAAGGATAAGCTTTAGGCTTCTTTTTACTAAAGGTGGACCGGAAAGGTCGCTTTTGAACCACTGACTAATGCGGGGAGTTTTTGTCGTTCAGGACCCCACCCCGGGCCCTTGGCGGGCCTCGTCCCCCATCTTCTCCGCCAGTTCCACCGGACTCTCCTGTGTCCAAGTGCCAAGAGCTCCAAAACTTGGTGGGTTGTCGACTCATTGTTAGAATATCTTAATTCCCTATCAGGGGAAGAGGACAGCCCCTACTAACCAAGCGAAAGGGTGTTTCGAGCATCCGATAGACTAACATCAGCTTGCATCGCCATCGGGCCTGAGGCCCCTGGACCCTGCGCAAATTATCTGATTGGAGCACCCGCTAACCTCCTCATGCCTGACTGAGCGAATGCTAGTCAATGAGCTAGTTTATCCTTTGGAGGCTTGGTCGATTCTGAGATGCAGACACGAAGCTCTGGTCATTGAAGGGAGAAATGACAAACATCTTGCATGCATCGGTGAGTTCACTCAGCCTATGATGCTCATAACGCAGATCTTTCAAGACATCCGGCACACGGTGCTTGTTCTTTGTAGGCATTTTGAAAATGAAGCTGCCAACCATTCCAGCTTAGGGTTATCACAGTTTTCCTGCACACGACCAAGCAAAAATACATCTACGGTTTTGCCTCAAAGTCATGCACAAGGGCGGATTTCTCGTTTTCCCCTTGAAACGGCCCCCAAAGCCGGTATAGTTAGAAAAACCCGCCCATCTTGCCCTTACCAAGGCACCATCGCAGGAGCTGGTGCCTCTAGCTTGGCCGTGCCGGCCGTGCCTGCGTGACGAGACCCGTGCCCCTACCTCTTTGCCCCGAAATTCCGGCATGTAAGGCCAGTTCAATTTGAAGTGCCTAGGGGCGCTTGTCCAGCAAGGGGCATTCTTCCCCCGTGCCCGTGAACTTTAAACATGCCAGATGATGTCAGAAAAGGCCCCAGTCAAGGCTTGGCTCAAGGAACGTCACACATACAAACCGTGCGAATCCCAGAATGATTTTTGCATGATGATTTTGCTCGTTTGCTAGCATTGTTATCATAACCATTATTATCTTATGTGTTGTTACATTTGTCTTTCTGTTAGTTCGATTGATTTCCTTTATGTATGTCTTTCTTCTGCTTGTTCATTTCTTCATCTATTCCTTCCCTTCCCTTTCCTTCTCCTTCCTTCCGCGCAGTCGACCCTTCTCATTCCTTCTTTGCGGTCGAATAAATCTGTATACAGTATGTCTGTTGCTTTTCCTCTCTGGCTCTGTCTCTCTCTCTCTCTGTCTTTGGTTCTTTGCTTTTGATTTTTTCTTTGTTTCTCTTGCCCTCATTCGCCCTCTCTATGTCTTTTTCTCTCTCACACAAGGAAGACTGTCGAAACCCACGCCTTTCCTAGCCAAAGCACGGCTGCCCGGTCGACTGTTGCGAACGTCGGTACTCGACTTCAAGTGAACCCCCGTCCCCCGGCCGGGTCCCTTGCCATGCTTGAGGACCCGATCCAAGAGGGTCGCCAGCTTGGCGTCCATCTCTGGGTGGTCGCCTGCCAAACGCTGCATCCCAAGTGTCACCAAGGTGGAAATCAAGGACTGGCGTGAGAACAAAACAACTCCAATCCACCGTGTCCGTGCGATACCACAAAAACAAAACTACGATCTGGCATAAGGATTGAATTTGCACAATCTGGCATAAGCCATGAGAATAACAACGCAACAAACAGGAACCTAAGTTGGAGGTGTCCCTGCAGCTCATAAACTCCGCTGCCCCGCTCTCTCAGCTCTCAGTCGGCAGGGTGCTAAACAAATAGTAGAATCTTGGAGTGCGCTGCGGCCAGCCTCTCCCTCCGGTGTCTGACCAAACTGCAATAGGACAATAAGGAAATGTGATTTTGTTCATTTTTTTGTCAAAAGCCCCGTCCGCGGAGGGCCATGAGCAATGAGGCTGGCCGCCTAAAGGGGAGGTGCCCTGTCTGAGCTTGTCAAACCTCGGAAACGTGCTGTCTGGGCTGGCTCTTGCTTTTATCTATTCGCGGAAAAGTAGTGACTCTTGGCAGAAGCAGCGACAATAGCCGTGTTGTACTTTGAACATGAGCTTTTCATTTGTTGGTGGCAAAAGGGGTGGCTTTGGGGCTTTGGTGGAGTGCTTTGGTGCGAGCAAAACATGGATTAGGTTGCAAACCTTGTGGATGGCTGTTAAGTAATATTGGCTTGCAGTGGCAGTCGGCAAGCAAAACTGCAAAGGGGCGAGTCGCCAGCCCCGTGATTTTTGCCCCCGTGTCCCTCCCAATTTGACGATGGGCTGGATCCCCAACCTCCCCACCAACTGAGAAAAAAAGGTGCCACCCAGACGTAGCCTCCCTTGCGCGAAGCGGAGGTCCCTTTGCTTAACTCATGCAAAGAAGAAGTGCCCGGGGGACGGCTTTTCGGGCGTTCGCGCAACGGCGCCTGACTTGGGCGCGAGGCCGTTGGAGCGGAAGAGCTGGCGCAGGGCGTGGCTCGCCTGCTCCTTGGAGCCTCCGGGGATCCGGTTCGCGGCCCGCTCTTCGGATCTGGGGGATGCCCCTGATCATGGGGAGACCCTGGCAAACTCCTAATCGGATATGGGCGATGGGGGATCCCTTCTTCTCAAGGCCCTTTTATGACAGAAGCAAGCACCCTCAGTCTTTCAGTCAGCTCCTTGGTAGGGCAGTGCAAAACTGGGAGCATCACATCATCACCTGTTGGTTGTGAATTGCAAGGAGCCTCTATGCACAAGGATCTCATGGGGCATCCTTGAATCTCCTTGCGCAAGAGTGGCACAAGATCTATCTAAGGCAAATAGTCACCCCAGGTCTGTCGAATGGAGATTGTGGTGTCGAAAATTACAGTTGAAAGGGGGGGGGTAGAACAAACCTCCGCTCTCATTACGCTATTGCCCCCGCTAGTCTTTGGCGATTTGGGACGAACGTTCGCTGGTCAATAACTTTTGACCCGGCGAGGTGCGATGCTCCGCCAATACCGCAAAGCACCAACCGGAGTCAAATAATCTTGGCAGAAAGGGTCTTTCATGGGTGAACTTGTCGTAGGAGAAGCAGTAATAATTGGCGACGCTGTTGTGCATGTGTTGCACGCCTGGTCTATTTGCTTGTCTGTTTGAGGTTGTTTGAGTACAACAGTTTTCTCTGGGGGTGGGGGGGAAGTGAACTTCGGTGGTTCTTGTGCCCACTGGGGGTGGGTTTCATTGGGGCGGACATCCCTGTGCAGCAGTTCAACTAGCAAAGCACGCACGTAAATGTCAATGCAGGTGTGGGCTCGTTCAGTTTGAGCTTTTCCGATTGATTGAAGCAGTGAATGTTTCGTCATTCGCTCCCACATGCACACTCATCTCTGTGGGAAGCTTGATGTCACTGCTTCTAACTGAAGGCCCGGCCTTCGGTGTGCCCCGTCATGGCCACAAGCTTCTTCAAGGCCTCAGGCGACACGCAGCGTAAGGTTGCACTCACGGCCTTAAAGCCTTACGTACTGTCAGGTGCGCTTGTGGCTGGAAAACGAACTCCGCGTAATCTTCCTCTTTGCGACTTTCTGAAATCAGGCATGACAGGCTGTTCAATGACTAGATGAACCTCGCCCTTTATCATGCCTGCCTCAGATGGGTTCATGTTGGTAATTATTCGTAGGACATAAACATATCTCGACTCTGCACTGGCGTTCCAAAACCCAAGGTTCAAGTCACACTAAGGACTACCACCACTAGGAAGTGTATGTCCACATGTATATACATACATAACCTGGGCCATCCTTCATCAGAGCACTAGCTTTCTGGGCTCCCCATTGTAGGGGTGCCATGCGACTGGTAAAGCGAGTGGCCGTTGCGACAAATATGTTCAGGCTCTGTCTTGAACCGGGCAAAAGATCTCTACACAGGAAAGCACCATGCTTTCTCCGGGCCGAGGGGAAAGGACACCTGCTTCTGCTGGGTGCTTTAATGAATCAACTTCCCGAAGTTGGTGGGATAGCTTCCTATTCAAAATTAGCTTCAAGAAGAAAGACACCACAACCAGTAATCCAAACCACCCATTGGGTGAAGTGAAGCCTATCCAAACTCTAGAACCAGCCCGCCCTTCCAAAAAAGAACCTGAGTTCGGAACTAAGCACCCGGCAACCTTGGCCTTGTCTAAGTCTTGCCGCGACGCCATGTTGCTGGCACACATCAGCAATCAACGAGCTGGCAAGTCCACGGGTTCTAGTGGCTGGAGCATGTGTCCGCATAGGCTGCGCTGGTCAGAATGGATATGGCTCTTGTCAAGCCGTTCGGCCCGTTTGTGCCTCTTCAGGCTGCGAGGCAGCGAGGCAGGCGGCAACGGCTCAAGCCAGTCTTGCCACTGGTGCCTTGGGTCATTTGCATGCTGATTGATGGAACACACCTTGAACAAATTGAAAGAAGGACAACACAACAGATTTCCAGCTGATCTTGTCTGGTGTGTCCTTTTGGTTCATCCTTGTTGGTTCGTATGTTTGGTGGTTGGCTTGATCGTTTTTGGTTGGTCCTCCTTCTTGTTTGATCATTTTCGTAGAAAGGACATCACAGAACTGGGTGTAGCTGAAGCCGGAAAAAAAGAAACACAAACAACAACAAATCACCTTCTGAAGCCTTGCATGCACAGGGCTACATATTTCTTCGTAGTCATTGGAATTTGTATGCGCACATCTGTTTGAAGCCATAGCGGGTATAATATGGTACTTGGCACAAGCAGGGGATACGCTGTGCCAAAGTGGGCAGTGTTTTTGTTGGCAAGGTAATGCTGATGACGTACCGTATCATACGCCGGGCGCCTACGCCATGTGCAAATACCCACCACACGCCGCCAGTGAAGCGCAAAGAGGCCCCGCACCTCGACGCAAATGACTTTTCCCCCTTGCAGCTCCACAAAGCCTGAGAAATTGAGACGACGACACCGAAACGAACTGGAACACGCACAAACCAAAGGGAGGAGACCGGATGTATTGGGTAAACCCCAGAAAACACACGGGTGTGTACGCAATTCAAAGCCATTCAACACAGCCCGTATGTACTCTACATTTGGACCTTGGATTGCCATTGGGACTCAAACAATGAAGAGTGAACATGTGCAAGAGTTGCATCGGATTCTTGAATTATATAAAATGTGCAATGCAAGTTTGTCAGCAATACGCTCGCACTGACATGGAACCTGACAGTGGGTGCCCTGCAAGGAAACACGATACACTATCCCCGCAGGTTCCATGCTGTTGCTGGGGAAACGACCCCCGTCCCCGTTCCCAATGCTTCGGAAATCAAAAGTCACCCCTTTGGCGCCCCTCCCCCCAAAAAGAACGCACATCACTTCACACACCTCTAGGAGTCGATGCAACCAGTATCTCCAAGGTTGCTTGTGATAAATGATGCCCTGCTTGTCTACGTGTCGGTGGAAAGCGCCCATACCCTACATGGCAAGGCGCCGCAGTCCAGGCAGCCAAGCTCAAAGCTAGATGCGTGGTCTGATGTTGCTGTTAGTTCTCTGATTGAACTCAACAAGCAAACAGACCTGCGCCACCCTTTGTAGATTTGGGTGACCTGCATGCTGTTCTCTGAAACCAACACTCACGCTTCAACTTGCATGTGCAAAACGTGGCTACACTCGCCGCTCGCGCACCTTTTTTGGCGAGTGGTGGCGTGGTCTTAGAAACGTGCCAGCGCGGCATCAGATCCTGGGAAACCTATCCGGGGCTGCCCCGATGACGCAACAGCCTCATCCCTCGCTGGGAAAAGGAAGGTCACCACACGTAGGCTCTTTCCAGCATGTGCAAGGCAAACGGGCCTGAAAACCAAGAGGGCTATGCCGAGTTTAAACACCCAGTTGCCATGGACCCCTACAGGAAACCTAAAGTCAGTGTTCAAGAAGCAGTGGTTTCAACATGCTCAACCACGAGGCCCCGCCGCGGAAACGAGAGCTTTGTTCCGCAAAGCCTTGCCATGTTGAAAGTTACAGCCTCTGGAAAAAGACGGCTTGGATTGATACTCATCAAGCCTGGATTCACGACCCTTCTTGATGCTATCAGAGTTGAATCTGCCGATTTAAGAAACACACCTGAAAACAGGGATCCAAGTAAAGAACCTGCATGAGCTCCCTTGACCCCCAGGTGGGCTCGAGAACAAAAAGGGCAGCTGCTTTGAGGGCGACAAGGACAATCGTTGGTTTAATCAAAGAAGCCACAAGGCGGGCAGAACTGGCAGCTTCTTTTGATGGGGAGCCAAGCCTAGCAATTCCAGGCCAGGCAAGGCATCTGTTTCCAGGCGGGAAAACAAACATTTGCTGGCATGTGTAAAATGTGCAGCTCACGCCACAAACAAGTGCTCAAACAGATTCCCTCTCTACTCAAACTCGGACTCGGACAGGAGGCGGCTGCTCACTTCCCCAAAAGACTTGGTTCCAAAACGTGACTATCCTTGGAGTCCATGACCAACAGTGGAATGAGCTGGAAACCAAGATCAACAGCCCTAAGAATCGCAGCAACTACTCTCTGAGGAACCTGAAGGGTCGGTGGTCAAAACAAGTCCTCGGAATAAAATCCCGCGACTGAGTGATGCTCCTGAGTCCTGGCTTTGGGCAAAGCCTTTGAGACCAACAAGTGGTCCGTGAATCCAGGCTCCGGGATTACAGTAGCGGCGTTGGGTGATTCGCCTCTAAGCAAGGCGCCTGCCGCCTTGGTTTCACATTCAATCCTCGCTAGGCCCCCAAAAGCCGCATGAGCTGACATGTTTTGGGAAAATGGGGAGTCAACTGCCAATGGAAAAGGGGCGTACAAAAGTGGATTTGTCCAGAGATTATCTGCATTGCCTCTTCATTTGCAAACACTCTTTTTCAGTTGGTCTGCATGGAGTTCCCTTGGGCACAAGGTATCGTCTCTAGAACTTGCTGGATCTAAGCTATGACGCGCATCTCTCTCAGCCACCCGTGGAGAGAAGGTTGGCTGTCGAGGTGGCGGCGAAAATGAGGAACAAGGTGCCGCCAACATAGGTCAGCGTCTTTTCCTCAGCCGACAACGCCCATTCATGCTCCTTCCACCCGAATTTGTGTTTTTGGCGGATCCTAGTGTTGCACAGTTGTTAAAGGAAAGCCAAAAGAAAGCAACCAACTTGGGAGAAGCCTTGAAACGAAACACTTTGTCTAGCTCGATTGGCTGGTCCAAGCCCTTGTATGGGCCTGCGCAAGGCTGCAAGGCCTGTTTGTCTTGGCTCTACGCTGGCAGCACTTTGGGCCCATCCACCATGTGAACATGCAGTCCAACTTCGTCTGGCTTGTGCATGTGTGTGCATCTTGTCTGATTTCCGAGCACACTCCCCTGCCCAACACCCTGAGGGTGTACTGGGCAGCTGTGCTTCCCATGTCGGCTCATAAAATGCCATCCCCCACCCTGGCTCGCCTCATTTCCCAGACAAGACCCCAATCTGCAGGCCAGGGGTAACGGAAGGTTACGGAGGGTGATCCAATGAAAGACAACATAGAACCTGAAAAGATCCCTCCCTTGTACCACGAAACACTTTGTCATGTTTTCAGGGCAGGGTTTCCGTTCGGCCGCCCCAGGTTTGAAGAACATCAAGGAGCCCGCTCCTCTCGGAGTTCGACTCAGACAGGGCGCCCCTTTCCGAAGCACTGACATGCCACCTGGCAGGGGTCCCTTGAGCAAGTGAAGTTGCCTTGCAAGAGCGCCCAGAATCCTTGGGCAAAGTGTCCAGCCAGATTGAGCTTGCTCCTTCTTGGGTTCACAAGCTGAGGTGTAGCTGCCCATGTGACAAATCTGGAAACACACATTCCTTCACGAGGGAAACAAAACGACAAAGTACACCAGGGCTGGAAAGCTAGAAACTGAAGGCGCTAGAAACTGAAGTCTCTTGAGTCCCCTAAAGCTGCAAGCAAACACAAACCAAATCAAACCAAGCCAACCACTAAGGACAAACCAAACCCAAAGCAAAAGCGACAAACGACACAAAACCCAAAGCGCATTTGGCCAAAGGTGCCGAGACATAGGTGCTGATCAGCTCCCCTAAGGCAACTGCCAGCAAGGTGGCGATGCCGTGGGCGGCGATGGCCCCGATGAAAACCGCCACAGCACCCTCCGCACAGGGCACTGAGGCGGCTTTTGGACGTATGTTATTCTTATTTAAGCTGCCTGAAAATTCAGGTCTCCAGATTCTGCAGATTCATTGGATGTTCACTTCAAAAGTTGCATTTTACTGGTAGGATCCAGTGAAAGTGCTGCTTCTGGCGGTCCCAAAGAAGGAAATGGAGGGGCCCTGGGGCGATGCCCGCCCGCCTCTGGGCCTCCTTGGGCGCTCAGCGCCGCCGCCGAGATGAAGGACCGGTCCCCGATCTCCGCCGCGAAGACCAGGACGAAGGCCTCGCCCGGTCTGTGTGTGTGCGCCCGGTCTGTGTCCCCGTCCCCGGGAAATAGAATTCCATGGATTTGTTTAGATAAACAAAAATGAGTTGGAGTAAGGATTCAGGCCCTGATAAGTCTGAAAAAGGAGTGCCATAGGAGCGCCTCCTCAATGCCATCCACAAATTGGTCCCTAGTTTTGGGACACACTTCTGTCCACATGCCTGAAGTCCCCTCACATGTGCACTTTTTCCAAGACACAGGGACACCCCCACAAGGGTTTGTACCTGTGTTGTTTCAAATGGGTGATCCCTCATCCGAAATCCGCACTATTTTCAGGCCTATAAGGCTTAAGGTCCATGACAGTAATCCTTCTGTTTTCAAATTGTGAAACTTAAGATCCATACACAGTGAAACTGCGCGACGTGATGTTTTTTTTTGTTTTTTTTCCCCGAAGAATTACTGTCGAACTGTGCATTGGAAAACAATGCAGCTGCTTATGGACAACAAAGAAGCAACCGTATGACATCGTATGACAGTTCTGTTGATTCTGAAGTTGCATGTTGCCCGGAAACTGCTGATAAAGGCAACAACTGTTCCCAAAACAACAACAGCAACCATCAATAATAAGAAATTGATGATGGTTGTATCGCATTCCTCTTTCATTTCATCTCTTTCTCTAATCTTTGAGTGGGACACCCCAACCAGTTGCAGTTGCGGCCCATGAATTTTCCCCAAGGTGCCAAAAGGCAAGCCCTGGCATGTGCCCCTTTTCTTCCCATGCCTGCACCACGACGGCCGGGATGGCCAAAGAGGTCACCCACTCGGGCAAACCACTGTTGATAGCCTCCTCCGCCTCTTCCCTCTCCTCCGCCAGAATTGAGCCATCGTCGGGCATGGTGGACGCATCCGTCAGGAGCTTCACCCCAAAGTAGCCAAACCTGGGCCATTTTGACGCGTGGTTTGTTCTGACTGGGTAAGTCGCATTTGGGGTAGCTTGGGCAAAAGTCCCTTTCGAACCTGGGAGGTCAGTCGGTCACTGGTGCAGCCGCCTCTTCAAACAATTGGCCAATCAAGCGGGTTTCGGAGACTTCTCGCAACTGGCGGCTTTTAGCGAAATGGTCCGTCCTGAAAAGCCTGCCCGTCACCAAAGCAGCACGTGAAGCAGTTTACCGTTTGCCCGTCAAGCCACTGAGCAATTTAAAGCCCCGTTTGCAGGCGGAGCCAAGCCCATGTGGACCACCGATGTCCAGCGCGTCCACTCGAGCCCATTTGTCCACCAAAGGCCGGTCCTTTAAAGGGGACGGGATCTGCTGGATCCCTGCCACTCAACCCCTTTACAGTTCTGCAGCCCAACATGGACCCAGAAACCTTCGCTCGGGCGTTTTAAGCTTCCTGTCCGTAAATCCAACCAGCCAAAAGGCGCCAGGATCGAGGCATAGTCATCCAGCGGCAGCCCGCCCGCCGCGTCCGGCACAGCATGGAAGACCTGGCCGATGCTCACCGCGATGAAAGTCATCACCGCCAAGGCCCCGA